ATAAAATAGATAAAATACTTGAAGTCATAGATGTAGAAACAAAGAATTTTCTAAACAGAACCGCAGTTGCACAAGAAACAACTGGAATAATCAACAAATGGAATTACATCAAACTAAAAAGCTTCTTCTTCTTTTTTTTTTTTTGGTACTAGAGATTGAACTCAGGACCTTGTGCTTTCGAGGCAGGTGTCAGAACCATGGAGCTAAATCCCCAGCCCTCAGTTAAAAAGCTTCTCTACAAGGGCTGAGGATTTAGCTCCATGGTGCCACACCTGCCTCGCAAGCGCAAGGTCCTGAGTTTGATCCCCAGTACTGGAGGGGGGGCACAAAAGAATCAATTAGTAGAGTAAAGAGATAACCTACAGAATGGGAAAGAAATTCTGTCAGCTATTCCTCAGACAGGATTAATAGTCTCTAGAATAGGGCCGGGGATTTAGCTCAGTGGTGCCACCGCCTGCCTTGCAAGCACAAGGTCCCAAGTTCAATCCTCGGTACCAAAAAAAAAAAGTATCTAGACTATATAAAGAACTCAAAAAACTTAGACCACCTAAAATAAAAGACCCAGCAAAGAAATGGGCAAGTGAAATGAACAGACACTTCACAGAGGAAGAAGTACATGTAGCCAACAAACACATGAAAAGATGTCCAACATCTCTGGCCCTTAGAGAAATGCAAATTAGATTCTCATAGAAGCACAAACCCTACTGTAAATGGCAAGTGTGAGGGATTTAGATTCTGTATTCCTTATGAGAATCTGGTCCCAACGCTACCCCAACCCGGTCCTGACTGGCTGGATACAGGGGGTAAATAAGAGGTTGAGTCAGAAAATCTGTCTCAGTGGTGTCATTTAGACAGCACAAATTTGGAGGAAAGCTCTCTCCTCTCCAGGGCTTTCCCTATGCCCCCAGGGTTTATGCTGAGTGGAATCTGAGTTCTGCTGCCAAACTTGGATGGGACGAGGGAGACGCCACCCCTGTTTCCTGCCAAACTACCTTCCTTTCTCTTTTGTCTTCTCCTTCTCTCAGATTATAACCTTCCAAGGCCCTCCTTCTAAATGTTGTGCTCAGATTCAAAATTCAGTTGACCCATCAGTGAAGCCATTCTTTCCATCCATCCTTCTTTAAGCTCTCAGAGAGAAAAAAAAATCAAATTGCCTTTGTACCTGTGTTGTAGTCTGCTTGTTCCCCCTGTGCCTGCCCCAGCCTGTGATTGTGTCTTTCAAAGGAACTTCCAGTGACTGTTGGAATGCTCTTTGTCCAGGCCCCTGACAGTTTTCTATAGCTAGATACATGGATACTCGGTTCATTTGCCTTCAGTTATGTGGAGCTCCTCATTTTTCAGCTCAGATACAACCCAAACCAGGGTTGAGCTCAGTGATAGAATACATGCCTAGGGTGTGCATGGCCCTGGATTCACACACCCCAAAAAAATACCAAAAAGAGGTAGGAAGGGGAGGTAAAAGAAGGAAAGAAAGGGAGGAAGGAAGTGAGGTACCAGACTTTTTTTTTGTATATCCTTTAATTGGTACATTTTAGAGTACAATATAATGACATTCATCATTGGAGATATGCACCTTTACGTACTCTCTTGGTTCTTATTTTTTCCCCCTTCCCCTGCTATAACACATTGTTTCCTGAATTGCAAGGGACAATAATTCAGCAGAGCACCAACATAAGTCAGTGAAGTAAATTAAATATTTGTAATCCAACTTTATTAATAGATGGATGGCAGCTTAGTGTAGTCAGTTTGAAGATCAAACTCCTATTCCACTATTTGTTTATGTAACCTTGGGCAAATCACTTATTCTTTCCAAACTTCAATTTTTCTTTTTTGTTTTGTTTTGGGTTCCAGGGATTGAGCTCAGGACCTTGCACTTTTGAGGCAGGCATGGTGCCACTGAGCTAAATCCCCAGGCAAAACACCCAAACTTTAATTTTCTTAACTTTTTAAATATATATTAATTGGTACATTTTAAGTATACAATACATTTACATTTATCATTGGGTGTTTGTACCTGTCCATGATGTACCTTGGTTCTTATTTTTTCCCCATTACCTATGCACCCTTCACCCCCTCCACCCTTCCCCATTTACATAGACTTCATTTCCATTTTTTTTCTTTTCTCATAATTTTTCCTTTGCCTTCCTCCCTTTCCCCTTCCCCTCCCACCACCCCTACACCTTTGGACCTTTTCCTATTTCAAATTATCAGTTATTCATTTTAATCATTTTCATCCTTATTTATACTTTCAGTTTCTCACACTAGAGAAACTGGTATTTACACATGCATGTCCTATTTATTTCACTTAAGAGTATGGCCTCAATATGCATTCATTTAGCTATAAATGTCTCTAGTTTCTCATTCTTTATGACTGAGTAGTACTCCATTTTATTAAAAAACCACATCTTTTTTATCCAGTTTCCAGTTGATGGGCACTTGGGCTGTTTCTAAGCTTTAGCTATTAAAAACTGTGCCACCATAAACATAGGTGCACATATATCGCTGTGGTATGATTCTTTTAATTCTTTGGGGAAGATTCCCAGCAGGGGAATAGCTGGGTCAAATGGGACCTCTAGCCCTAGTTCTTTGAGTTATCTCCATACTGATTTCCACAGTGGTTGCACCAGTCTGCACTCCCACCAACAATGGAGAAGGGTTCCTTTCTCCCCACACCCCCGCCAGCATTTGTTATTGGTTGATTTCTTTTCATTTTTTTTTTTTTTTTTTTTGGTACTGGAGATTGAACTCGGGACCTTCTGCTTGCGAGGCAGGCGGCAGAACCACTGAGCTAAATCCCTGGCCCATGATTTCTTGATAGCAGGCATTCTTTGTGGGGTGAGGTGGAATCTCAGCATTGTTTTCATCTGCATCTCTTGGATGACCAGTGATGTTGAACATTTTTTCATATATTTATTTGCAGTTTTTACTTCTTTGTCTGAGAAATGTCTGTTCATTTTGGATGCCCATTTTTGAATTGGGTCTTTGAATTTGGGGCGGGGGGTCTGATTTTTTTAATTTTCTTGACTGTTAAACCCAACTGTGTGGTATTATTGTGAGAATTAGAGATTACAGTATGATAACTTCTCCATCATACTGGCTAACAAATTAGTAGAGTCTCAGTAATTTTTAAGTCCAAGACATTGAGGAGGCCACATGATTTTAAGTATGTTGAACCATCGTTGCATCCCTGGGATAAATCCAACTTGGTCAGGGTGTATGATCTTCTTGATGACCCTCTGTATTCTGTTAAGGCCAGATGATTTTGAGGTCCTGATGAACTTGGGGTAGGTGTGCAAGGGGTAGGTCAGCTGACAGGCCCAGTGGCAGGACACCGTATCGCCCAAGACCAAGTCGATCGCTTTGGCCGAGGTAGTCCCTGAGCCTCTGGCCAGAGCTATGGTCAAAAGTAGCAGCGGCGGGAGCCCCAGTTGGGCCCGGACCCAGAGGTTCCCCTTCAGTGCCGCCATCTTGTTCCCTCTGTTCAAGGTACCAGGTTTAAAAATGAATCTTCTTGGGGCTGGGGATTTAGCTTAGTGGTTCCGGTGCCTGCCTCACAAGCACAAGGTCCCAAGTTCAATCCCTGGTACTAAAAAAAAAGAGTAAAAATGCATCTTCTGGACTTTAATATGGGTATAGGAAGCCAGCTTCCTTCCAGGGCCAGGAAGAGCAAGGCAAGGAGGAGTCTTGAGTTGTCATGAGGTAAAATAGGCTTTCTCTGGAGGTAGTAAGGAGGAATTCAACCCCAGCACAGGTAACCTGGGGAGACTGAAGACAGCAGGTGATCAACCAGACCAAGAGACTGTTAGAGGTCACTTCTGGGAGTCCCTTTTTTTTTTTCTTTTTCGTTTTAGTACTGGGGATTGAACTCAGGACCTTGCGCTTGCTAGGCAGGCGGCAGAACCACTGAGCTAACTCCCCAGCCTTGGGAGTCCCTTTCTGATCAGGGGGCTTCTGGTCACTAAGTATTTGTACTAAAGATCTCCATGTTTTCCTTATCCACTTACATCCCTATTGCCAAACAGTATCTGGAGCAACGCTGTCCAGTAGAACTCTCTGCCATGATGGGAATGTTCTAAAATACACCATCTGGCATGGTAGCCACTAGCCATATGTAGCTGTTAAGTACCTGAAATGTAGTTAGTACAACTGAGAAACTGTTTAATTTTACTTAAATATTAAAATTTAAATAGCTACATGTAGTTTATGGCTCATTATATGAGATAGGTCTAGATTCTAGAGTATAGTAGAACCTCTATTCCATGAGCAAAGCTGAATCTTTACTGTGATTGGGGAAGTAGGGATTAGACAGAGAATGATGGAATAGGTAATCTGAAGAAAGCCAAAAGTTCAGCTTCTGAAAATTTTCCCTTTCTGGCTTGTAGGTATAGTAACAGGGAATAATGTAGGAGGAAGGACCAGTGTGGGCAAAGTCAGAAACCAGAAATGATCACAAGTGAAGGGAGAACGGTAGCCAGGAGGGATCAAACATAGGACTGAGCGAGCACCTGCCGTGTCAGGCATGGGGATCCTGGGCAGCAACACAGCCTCTGCCTTCACAGACCACCTGGCCTTGTCCTGGCAGCTGTCCTGGCAAGTGGACAAGCAGTACCATCAAGTGTTCGTGCTGCGGGAAGGCTGGGTGCTGGGATCTGTGGGAGACACCCGAGGGCTGCTCCACCCGGCGTCGGGCTAACGGCCCAGGTTGGAGACACAGGAAGGCCTTTCTCCTGAGTATAAGGGAAGCTGAAGAGAGTTTTAAGCTACAAATGACCTGGGTAAATTGGCATTTTAGTGGGCTCATCTGCTGTGTTGCGGTCAGTTCCACCTCTGGGTCCGTCTTGGCACTGTTGTCACTTTTCTTTTGAATCAGTTATCTCCAGTGTCTTGTCTGCCTGTCTGGTTTATGTCGTGTTTTGTTTTTCTTCCTCCTTCCCTGCATCGCTGTCTGCTGGGCCCCACGCCCTGTTCTTCTTTGATGTCCTTCTCTCTCTGATCCAAAGATCAGCCAATAAAAAGCAGTCTCACCTATCCAGGTAAGAGGGGAGCCACAGTGAGGAGGGAAGAAAATCCCCTCCTATTGTTTTTTTGAATAGATAGTATCTTCACATGATTCAGAACTAAAGTACAAAGGAGAATGTAATGAGAAGTCTGTCTCCAGGTCATTCATGCCCCAGCCATCCACTGTCCCCCGCAGAGCCAGCCTGTGTTGTATTTCTTTTCTATCCTTCCAGAAACATTTTTGCATGCATAAGATATTTCTGCATACATAAATATGTAAAATATATAAACAAATAATTTATTCTCCCTTTTATGTACTGTTTTCAGTATACACATAGTTCTATATCTTGTTCTCCCCCCAATAAAATATCATGGAAATCATGCAGTATTACATAAAGTGCCTCCTCATTGTTTTATGTGACTAAAGTCTGTGTCATTATTTTGGCATAAAATAATGGATTTAACCAGCTACCCATTGTGAACATTAAGATTATTTCATGTTCTGCCATTACACCCACTGATTCCATAACCTTCTACTTGGTCATTTGCTATAGCTAGGATGGGAATTGCCCCTTGGCAGCAGTCATTCATTTGAAAACTGGCAATATATACTGTTTTCTAAAAGCGAGAGCTACAGGAGTGGTTTGAATTTTTTGTGTTCCTGTAGAGGCCCTAATTAAGGAAGAGGTCAAGCAGTGAATCTGGTTTGGTGATCTGCAGCACTTTGAGGGGTTAGGGTCTAAGTAAGGTGCCTCGGGCTGGCTGGGGAATGGGGCTGATTATGAGGTTGGAATGTGCTACCTACCACCAAACAAACCAGACTCCTGTTCTCCCATGGAACCCAAAACATAAGTGGAATTTCCAGAGGCACCAGTATTGCTGTACCCCTCCTTTCTAAAATAGCATGCAAGTTGCCCGTGACCCTGTAGGTTAGAACTGAATGGCCTGCCACCCTCCTGGAGACGGCTGAGGTGCGAGGAGATGAAGCTGAAGTGGGGAGCTTGTTTCTGCCTCAGCCATTGCAGCCTTCTGCTATGTCTATGCGGGCCTCTGTATGTGTTTGACTGCAGCATCTTCCCTCTTCCTTTGCAAACCATCGCCTAACACTAACTAGCTGTTTGTTTTTTGTCCTGTCTTTTTCTTGCATTCATTTTCTCTGCTGCTCCGTTCTGTTTCATCAGCCCCATTGCAGCCTGGTAAGACCCAACAAGTGCATGCGTGTGCGTGTGTGTACGCACATCCCCTTGTTATTGTCTCTATCACCCGACTCCATAGAAGCTGCTTCTTTTCACTCCTTGCTGGGTATTAAAGACATCATGCTTGCCCTGCCAGGCCAGTTTTCCATAGATGGTATTGCCTGCAGTGTAGATGTAGCTAATCTCTTACCAGACTGAGCAGGTTACAAGGTGGGCAGATCAGCCTCTCATTGTCTGAGATTCAGGGTCCCTTTGACAGAGCCTCCTTCTACTGGTACTCCCCAACCATCTCACCCATAGGTTTTCCTTACTTCTTCTCCAGGTTAAGTACCCTGTCTTCCCTTGGAGATTCTGCACCTGAGCGCAAGTCCCCTTCTCACCACCACCAGCCCTCTGACACCTCTGAGGCAACAGGTAACCACCTTCTTGGTATCAACACATAGGTGTAGCAGAGCACGCATCCTCACACCCCAAACAAAGCACCTCAGTCTTTACATTGAGTACTGAATGTGTCCCAGGCCTTGTGTTACTGGTTTATATAAATTGACCCCTTACATCAACCTAGACAGTGGGTTTTATTGTCTTCATTTTACAAATGAGGGAGCTTTGCATTTAAGAAGCCTGCCCAGCTGTCCAAACTTGTTGGGGACAGAATCAGGATGTAGCCCCCATTCTGTTTGCTCTGGAACCCGTTCTGAATCATTACAGAATGCAGTCACACAGGCACAGTGCCTGTCACACGACCACAAGGATGGCAACACTCAGGAGTCATCGCCTTGGTTTCTTTTCATTGTTCAAAGTTCCATAGATGGTGTTCATGTGAATAAAAAGATTTCCCCATGTCATTTGTCCTTCCCTGGACTTGGCAAGGGATCAGCCCTGAATCACCTGGGGCAAGGTGTCCAGCTCTGCAAGAAACAGTCAGCAAGTGTTAGTGTCCCACCTGCTGGTGTCATTGGTAATGACATGACGTAAAGTTTTCAGTCCACCCAACAGAATATTCCTTTGCTGTAATATTAATGTTTAGGAGGGTAGTTGGACTTGGCTCTGCCCCTTCTTTGACCAGTCTCACCCAGACAAACCAAAAGGGGCTGACATGGATGAGAGACAGCATCTTAGCACCGCAGAGAAGGGCCTTTTCTCCTACGGGATTCCGAGGAGACTACAGGTGCTTGCCCAGTCCCTGGGAAGCACATTATGTGTTTGAACAGGATGAGTCGGTATTGGGTTAGTTTGCGAAGGCTTCTCGGGAGGAAATGCACTGGGGCTTTGCGGAGTCGGCCTTGGCTTGTATGCACCAACCTTCAGAGACTGCTGGCCCAGCCTCTCCTCTCACTCATTCCCGCCAGGTCTTGTCCAACGCTGTGTCATCATCCAGAAGGACCAGCATGGCTTCGGCTTCACAGTCAGTGGGGATCGCATTGTTCTGGTGCAGTCCGTGCGGCCTGGTAAGTACTCCCCTCTCCCTGACAGTGAACGCCTCCTGAAAAGGCTCGTGTATGTGCCAGTGCAGGATGATGTGGGTCAGCCAGGAGGAGCCCTGTGGACCAAGAATGAATTACTCTAGAACTGCTCCCCACAGATGTCTAGGTCCATCACCACCACACCAAGCCATGAGGCAAAAGCTCTAGGGATCACACTAGGGAAGTGTGAAACCCAACAGGACAGTCCTTGAGTCATTAGACCGATACCTGATTCCACCCAGGTGAGTCCCTCATACTGGGTCAGAAGACATGAGGAGGAATCAGAGGCCTCCTTTCTTCACATGACCTCCTCGTTACCTGGCTGAGTGCTCAGACGATCAGCTACTGCCCAGGTTTAGTTACAGACATGCTGGTCCCAGTGGTTTTAGAACACATTTATTTGCAATCAGTTAACATTAATAAATTACCAAAAGATAGATGACATGTACCAAGTATTGTGTCAGATGAAATGGTGTTTGGAAGTTTGTTTGGGCAGTCTGATTCAAGGGGCGTAGTCACTTCCCTTCTGATCACTTTGAAAATTCTTTAGAAGAGGATTTCAGCGTGAGAAGATTTTCAGTGTGGAAGATGGAAATGAAAACAGCCCTGCCAATGTTAGTGCCCGGCTGAAGAAGACAAGCAGGAGAGAGGATGCCAGACAGTATAAAGCGAGTATCCCTCAGGGATGAACTTTAGGTGGTAAATAGGATCAGGCCAGGAACACGGATCATCTGTCGGCTTGGCCTCTTGGAGAACACAGGAAATGCTAAGAGCAGACTGGCCTTTCACCCCAGGGAGAAGGAAGAATATACTTGCAGTAATTTTGGAGAAAGACTTGGGATATGTTTACAGGGAAAATGAAAAGACAATTATAAATGCCTGACCAAAATGAAATATGTGGCTCATACAAGGATATAAATAATTATAGCATCTTATGTTTGGAAGCTAACTTTTATCAGTGGCAGGTTTGTTTTTCATATCCTTGAGTAAAGCTCTGAAAAGATAGTTTTATTCTTTGCTTCCCTTATTTTTCAGCGTTCCTGGACTAGGATGAAACAGAGCTAGTAGAACAACCAATAACATGCGCTTTGCCTCTGCCATCTATTAGATACAGAAAGTATGGGGTCCCCTCCAGTGAAATGTGGGTTCAGCTCTCCTTCACTTTTTCCACCTCCTAGGTTGAGTAGAGTTAGAATCAAAGAGTAAAGAACAAAAAAATGACTTGCAATAAAATAAGGTGTGTACGTGTGTGTGTGTGTGTGTGTGTGTGTGTTTCGGGGAGAAGAGAGAAGACTTAATTTGGATGGGCACTGGAATCACAAGAGTAACAGCAATTGCTGTTGTCCTTTCCAAATACTGAGTTTCTTTAGTTCACTATTTGTGTTTTGGCTCCATCAGAATCACACATAGGTCCTAGGATGATTGAAGTCCTTATTCCTAGGCCCAACCTTAGTACTGAGTCACCTTTCTGACAAGGGGCCAAGGATACACATTTTAACAAAGTGCCTTGGTGATTCTCATCTAACAGAAATCTGAGAACTTTTGCTCAGATTCCTTTAAAGAGTTTAGTTTATAGTTTATTTTAATCACTTGAGTTATTAGAAGTCACCTTATGTGTTTCATGTATTCAAGCAAGATAGCTTTTTCCTTTCCAGCTTTCATTTCTACAAATGTGTAAGAGAGAATTTCAAGCTATTTGCAAGTACTGTGCCATAAATAGCACATTTTGGATGAGAGGAGTCTTAGTACCCATATTGAAAAGCCAAATTGGAACATAATCATCACTGTACTTTTTTGGGGGTTTTTTGTTTTTTAAAATATTTATTTATTTTTGGTATGGGGGATTGAACTTGGGTCCTTGCGCTTGCGCAGCAGGCAGTGAAACCACTGAGCTAAATCCCCAGCCCTTTTTTTGTTTTTTTAGTGTACTAGAAACATCTAGATGTGCTTTTCGGGAGTTTTGTTTTGATCAGATAAATGCAACTTTTAGATTTAATAATCATCTTGGAGCAAATTTACAAAATATAATTTTTATGCCTCTCATTAACTAATTTCTGTTAATTGCTGTTATGTTTCTTGTGCTTCCTGGGTATAAATTAAGCTAGCAGTAGAAGCCATTTAAAACTACATGGAGGTCAAAACCACCATAGCCACTGGGTGAGTGCGAACCTGAAAAGATCAGGAGCATGTTCTTCTAGGCGCGTTCTCATCAGCCAACGTCAGAAGCCCTTAATCTGGTCCGTTTTAAAGGAAGAAGCTATAAATAGTTTAAAAGTTTTTTTAAAACAGAAAAATATAATAATCATTTTTAAAGGCACGAGTCCTCAATATCTTTATGAACCTCTCACAACTTATGAATAACCAATTTAAAAATTTGTTTTAATCCTTTTTCTCCATATTTCTCTTAATAATTATTATTATTTTACCAATTATACTTAATGCCTTTAACTCACTTTTCCCACTGGATAGTAACAGTGTTTATCCGACCTTGGGTCATATCTAGATGCTTCACATGTGTCAGATGAACTCTCCCTGGGGCCTGGCCCTGCCTGTCTCCCACCTTGCTGGTCATCAGAAGTCGGTCTTCTGAGCCAGGACAAAGGAAGGCATGAGCAGCAGATGTGACCTCAGGAAGTCTGCTGCCGATTGAAAATCACTTGTCATTGGGGCAAAATGGGATGTTCACCCAGCAGCTGAGGTGCTTTGTGCAGAAACGTGTGGTGACACTTCAGATGGAGCTCTGACAGTGACCGTGGTGTGGGCTCAGTGGCTTCTGGGGGAGGTTGTGTGGCGCTCTGTTGACCAGCCCTTCTCCTTACAGGGGGTGCAGCCATGAAAGCTGGAGTGAAAGAGGGCGACCGAATCATCAAAGTGAGTGACCCTGATTCCCATCCCCTGGAAAAGACACAGAGGTGCAGAGGTTCTGTGGCCTTGGCCTGTCCTACCTGTATCCATTACTATACGCCAAGTCTGGTGTGGCACCACGAGAGAACATGATAATATAGTGAGAGCAGAGAATTAAGATAGGAGAGGGTTCCAAGTTCTGGACCCTTGTGACTCTAAAGCAGCCAAACTTTTACAACAGGTGTTGTTAGCCCCACTTCATACACGATAAAAATAAGATTAATAAAGAGGGGATGTAAGCCTCCACATTCTCAGCTTGTAGTTCCCGGTACAGTACTGACCTTAGATGCTTGGCTGTTCTAAACTACTAGAATCCACCCTGCCCATTCAGGTCTGTCTTCTGCGTAATGTGTCCTAGAAGCACTAAAGAAATCCTGATGCACAGACTCCTGGTCTTCTAGAAAGGAGGAAATACACTGGGCTAGTTGATAAACACAGGTGTGAGGCAAATGGGTGAAAAGGCATTAAAGAAATAAATGACTAAATGAATGAATGAAAAAACAGGTCTTGTCCCCAAAAAGTTGTACACTGGCTGGGAAGAAAAATCACATGGCACATGTAAACAGGAACAAATTTGTAATGTGGATTTGAATAAGCAAGTGACCAGAGGTATCTAGAGAGCCCTGGAAAATGGCTTCCTAGTGAAGCGACATCAAAAGCTTAGAGGAGCGCCCAGGTTTCCGTCACTGTTACTCAGTGTTCTTTGTCCCTCCAACAGGTTAACGGCACCATGGTGACCAATAGCTCACACCTGGAGGTAGTGAAACTTATCAAATGTGAGTTGGAAAGGGGTGAGCACTAAGGAAAATCAAGGGGCTAGTGAGCTGAGGGAGGGAGGAGGAGCAGGCCCACTGACCCGGGAGGCTGCCTTCCTAGATGTCTAATCTCAACTTGGAACAGTCACTCAGAAGGCCCCAAATTCCTATTATCGTTCTAACAGGGACACTGCTCACGTGGCTTCATTTTTCCACACCCATCTTTGCCACTCCTATTTAGACCACACCCCACTTAAATACCATTCTGTCCTGTCTTCCATTCACAGACATTCTTCCTCATCTAGTTCCTGTTTTGAGGGTAGGGAGAAGCAAAACACACTTGGTCTGTAGACAGGAAGAGCCTGCAATTGAGTGCACAGATAATCAGATAAAAGCAGCAGATGTTGAGGGAAGAAGGGGGGGAAGTCTTGGGCCTGGGGTGGAGGGCTAACATTCGAGTGCCTGCTGTTTGCCAGGGGCTGTGTGCTGGTGCTTCCATTGGTTGTTTCTTTTAATGAGATAAAGGACCAAACAAGGGTGGATGCGTTGGCTCGTGTTTCAGGTCTCTGCAGGAAGGAAGGGAGACTTGGGTTGATGCAGGGCAAGAAGGCAGGACTCAGAGAGTGGTTGGGGCTTTGCAAGTGAGAACTTAAACCACAGGATTACAAGTAATGGAGGAGAAGAGAAGAACCCTCTCCTTTGTAGCTTGCTCTCCCGAACAGTGCCACCTGAACAAGCCTCTCCTTGTCTCCCCCAGCTGGTGCCTATGTTGCACTGACTCTCCTGGGCTCCTCACCCTCATCTGTCGGTGTCGCTGCACTCCAGCAGGAGCCGGCAGGACATCCCCGAGTCACCCCCATGATCCCACCACCACCACCTCCTCCACCTCTGCCACCCCCACAACGCATCACAGGACCCAAACCTCTGCAGGTAATAGTCTTCCTCCTTCCCTTCCACACTCTGGTCCCTTTGAAGAGTTCTCCGGTGGAGATTAAATTGAACAAGGCTGTGTTAAGCAGACGAGCCAAGAGACAAATGAACAGCTTCAAACAGAAATGAAAACTACATAAAACGTATTCCATGACTGAGCATCCTCCTCCTGTGTGAATGTATGTGAGGTTTTTTCTAAGTATCTGAGAGTGTTCCCTCACTGGAGAGAGCGCCCCCTCCAGGCATGAATGGAAGGCATCTGTTACAGACTGTTGCCAGTCAGTATTATAAGGGAGTGAGAGAACAGCATCCAAGAGAAAAAAGACTGCCTGGAAGAGTGAGATACTAATCCCAGTTGGTAGAGAGGCAGACAAGGACAGAAGCAGGGGAAGCACAGCCTTCAGTGTGGGAAAGCCTGTGTGAAGGCTTAAAAGAGGACAAGATGCAGACAGTTATAGGAAATGGGATTTTCCAGTTGGAAAGAAGACTGAGCCAGCAAGTCCCTGGAGAAACCCTGAAAGTGGTTCATAGTAAAGACTTCTAGGAAGTTCAGGAACAAAATCAAAATGAGATTTTGTGTCGACTGCATCCCAGCAAGGTCTTGCATGTATACAAAGCACCGTGAGCCAGACTCTGCCCTCAGCCTTCCCTGCCTGGGGACCCATGCTGCTGAGCTAGTCCCCAGTGCTCACTTGGTTCTGTCTTCCATCCCTAGGACCCTGAAGTTCAGAAACATGCCACCCAGATCCTCAGAAACATGCTGAGACAGGAGGAAAAAGAGCTACAGGTGAGGTCACTGCTGAAGATAGCCTGCCCACCGCCTTAGTGAAGCAATACTAGCACAATCTGCCAATGTATACAACCCAGTTTGCAATCCATAGCCTCTCACTATAAAACCTTAAAAATAAAACTTCAGGATTACTGAAGAGTTGTCATTTGAATTTGTTAAAGCAGGGCTGTATACAGTGGTGCATTCCTGTAATCCTAGCACTCAGAAGGCTGAGCCAGGAGGATTGTTGCAAGCCAGCCTGGGCTACTAGTGAGTTCAGGGCCAGCCTGTACTACACAGCAAGGCCCTGTCTCAATCCACCCCCACCAAAAAAAGAATTTGTTAAAGCAGAGTTTTACCAATAGAGTGCATAGGATAATTGAATTCCATAGGTAATAGATTAGGCTAGTGAATAGGTGATGAATCGGGTCCACAGAATTGAGGAACATTACAACTGAGGAACATTGGAGAGGTTGAGATTGATCGGAGAGGTTTCCAAAGAAGGGTAAGATGCATGGCGGGTGGGGGTGGGTAGCAAGTCCTGGCCAAACTGATAGGGTCAGGCACAGGCACTGCTGGTGGACGCGGTGAAGAACGATTTTGGGGCCAGTGAAGTGATCTGCACAGAGGACAGTCAGAAGATTGATGTGGCTAGAGCGGAATAACCAGAGTCCCAGCAAAGCAAGGCTTCCGGCAGTCTCCTCACCCCATCTTCTCAGCTCCACACGTTTCTTTTTCAGGGCTTATTGTATGTATTGCCCTTGACGTGTTTAAAGTCTAATGGGGGGAATTCAGATTACAGAAGGAGCGAGAACGGGAAGAACAAAGAATTGGCTATAAGAGAGCAGTTAATTTAGTGATGGAGCATGCGGGAAAAGGCTTCACAGAGGAGAGCATTCCAGTGGACCTTGAAGAGTGGGGCTTCAGCATTCAAAAGAGACGAGGGAAGAATGCTAGTGAGTGTGCAGCTTAGGTTCAATACATTCATTTACTTAACAGGCACAAAGTCTTGCTGTGTACTAGGGACTGCGTGTGTTAGGGGCAAAAATTAGAAAGATAGATGAGAGGTGAACCTTTGAGGAGTTAGCGATCCCATGAAACATGGATGGATGAGTGGAATGTGCTGCATTATAAGTGATGATACTTATGTACATATATCAACACAGAGTAATGACACTGGTACAGGTGCACAGGTAGACCTACAGGGCCATGGGATAGCATCCAAGGTCCAGGGCTTAACACCCACATCTGTGGTCAGTTGATTTTCAACAAAGACACCAAGACAATCCAATGGAGAAGAAATTCCCTTTCAAAAAATGGTACAGGGACAACTGGATATATACATGCAAAGAATTGCACTTACCTCACGCAGTTAACAAAAATGAACTCACTAGACGTAGTGGTGCATGCCTGTAATCCCAACAATCAGGAGGCTGAGCCAGGAGGATTGCTGTGAGTTCAAGGCCAACCTGAATTACAGAGTGAGACCCTGTCTCAACAAAACAAAACAAAACATCAACAAAAATTAACTCAAAATGGGTCAGAGTTAAATGTAAGAGCCAAAACTTTTTGAAAACTAAAGCTCTTAGAAGAAAATATGTATAATTTAAAAAAGAAAGAAAGAAAATATGTCTAATTCTTCGTGACCCTGGATTAGGCAGTGGTTTCTTCAGTGTGACACCAAAAGCACAAACAGGGCTGTGAGCCTCTGACAGAGCACTTGCCTAGCATGTGTGAGGCCGGGGTCCACTCCCCAGCACCGCAGGAAAGCAAGCAAAAGGCCCAAGAACCTGAACAAGATAATTGGGTTTCATCAGAATTAAAAACTTGACCAGGGATCTGGCTCAGTGGTTCTGGTGCCTGCCTTGCAAGCTCAAGGTTCTGAGTTCAATCCCTGGTACCAAAAAAATTAAAGACTTGTCAGACACAGTGGCACAAGCCTGTAGTTCTAGGCTGTTTGGGAATGAGGTAGGAGGGTCACAAGTTTGAGCTCAACTTAGATAACTTAGTGAGACCCTATGTCCTAGAGCTGTACCCTGGGTGTGGTCCTCACTACCACAAAAAGAAAGGAAGATAGGGAGAAGGGAAGGAGGGAAAAGGGAAAGAAAAAGAGCTAATGGCTAATACGCATGTGAAAAGATGCTTGACATTGTTAGTCATGAGGAGCTTCTAATGGAAAGGACAGTGGATACCACTTTGTAACCAAAGTAATGGAGAATATCAAGTGTTGGTAAGGCTGGAGACAAAGCTGAGAGAGATTATTTGTTTATATTTTGCTTCCATATGCACTGTCCTGATCTACTTTCACCATTGAAGGGGAATATAAAATAGTGCAACTATGCTGGAGATAAGCAGCTCTTCAAAATGCTTTGGGTTTCTTTCTTTCTTTCTTTTTTTTTTTTCTTTGGTTTTGGTTTTGGTTTTTTGAGACAGGGTCTCACTATGCAGTCCAAGCTGGCCTCAAACTCACAGTGATCTTCCTGCCTCAGCCTCCCGAGTGCTGGGTTATAGTTGTGCACCACCATACCTGACCAGTTCTTCAGAATGTTAAACCAAGATAGTGATGACCCAGCAATTCCACTCCTGGATGAATACCTGGAGGAATTAAGAACATATGTTCCCATAAAGCTTGTACGTGAACATTCAGAATAGCTTTATTTATTTATTTATTTTTTTGGTACCGGGGATTGAACTCGGGTCCTTGTGCTTGCACAGCAGGCGGTGAAACCACTGAGCTAAATTCTCGGCCCCAGAATAGCTTTATTTTTATTAGCCAAAAAAGTAGAAACAACCCAGATGCCCATCAGGTAATGAATAGACAAATATAAGCGAAGTGCCATAGATCCACACAGTAGGGTAGTATTCAACCATAAGAAGGGTGAGACACTGGTATGTGTGCTGTAGCCTAGCATACCCTGCAAACATGCTGACCCAGAGACCCCAGACAGAAGTCCACGGACTGTGGCTCCTTTGCACAGGACGTCCAGGCACATCCAGAGACGGGAGGTGGAAGAAGGGGCGGGGGCAGTGACTGCTCACAGGTGCTGGCTTCCTTGTTGGGTGTTGGGAGCGTTCTGAACTGGACGGTGGGGATGGTTGCACAATTGTGTGAGGATGTCAGAAGTCACTGAATTATATGCTTTTAAATTGTGAGGCTTATGTGACATGAATTATACCTCAGTGACATTTTTTAAAAATTTTAATGCCATGATAGCTGAAATGAGGGAATAATTACTTGTGCAGTTATCAGAAGGCTTCATGAGGCGATGCTTGAGCTGCGTTCAGGATTAGAACATTGAGAATGGCAGTGGCTACAGTTGTTGAAAAGCGATTTGGGCCATAAATATCATGAGGGCTTGGACTTTGCCCTAAAGGCAATGGCAATTGATCAAAGGATTTTGAGTAGGGAGTGATTTCAAATCAGTGTTCTTTGGAGGAGTATGCTAAGTGGGCTGGTACTGTGGAGACCTAGGAGGCTGTTACACAGATGAGGATAGATTTAACAACAGGTTTAACAACACCAGCAAGAGTCAGAACAAAAGGGAAGGAACAACAGTGGGAGACATTTTAGAGGTCAGGTCTCGAACTACTGGCCAGAGAGGGAGAAGAAAGAATTGGGCCAGGGATTTAGCTCAGTGGTTCTGGTGCCTGCCTCACAAGAGCAAGGTCCCGAGTTCAATTCCCGGCACCGAAAAAAAAAAAAAAAAGAATAAAAAAGATGGCACTCGGGCCGGGGATTTAGCTCAGTGGTCTCACTGCCTGCTGCGCAAGCGCAAGGACTCAAGTTCGATCCCTGGTACCAAAAAATAAAAAAAAAGATGGCCCACGTTTGGATGCCTGAGTAGGTGGTGCCGTTGATGGAGCAAGTAGTGGAAGGGAGCAGAGTTCAGGGGAAAGAAATGAAGGTCAGCTTTAGGTATGCTGAGTTTGAAGGTATCAGATGAAGCTTCTCCACACATATGGCAGGGACAGGGCTGAAGCTGAGGAGAAAAGGCTGATTCAAGTAAAGTATCCTCAGTATACAGATCATTGTTGGAACTGGGGTCTGGATGAGATCTTCCAGGGCATCACTGCAGAGTGGAGAAAGCTGAGGGTGGATTTGGGGAGAGTTAAATGTGCCTCCACGGCGTGCTTTCCTGTCATCCCTGTCCCTTGAAAGAGTAGCTATTTATCCAAAAATTCATTTGGAACCACAAGAGACCTAAAATAGCAAAAGCAATCCTAGGCAACAGAGACATGGCAGGGGGTATCACCATCCCCGACTTATACTATACTGCGAAGCTACTGTGTTAAAAACAGCATGGTACTGGCAAAGAAACAGATCCGAGGATCAGTGGAAGAGATTAGAAGATAAAGAAACAACTCCAGACATGCTCAGCCACCTCATCTTTGACAAAGGAGCCAACCACCCTCACTGGAGGAAAGATAGTCTCTTTTTTTTTTTTTGGTACTGGGGATCGAACTCAGGTCCTTGCGCTTGCACAGCAGGCGGCAAAACCACTGAGCTAAATCCCTGGCCAAGATAGCCTCTTTAATAAATGTTGTAGGAAAAACTGGATTTCAACTTGCCAAAGATTAAAACTAAACCCATATGTATCACCATGCACTAAACTAAGATTGAAGGGGATTAAAGATCTAAATATTAAAACAGAAACACTAAACTTACTGGAAGGTAAGTTAGGTAGAACTCTTGAAGATATTGGCATAGGAAAAGATTTTTTTTTTTTAGGAAAAGATTTTATGAACAAATCTTCAGTAGCATGGGAACAAGCACAAAGAATCAACAACTGGGATCTCATCTTATTAAAAAGCTTCTGCACTGCAAGAGAAACCACCAA